CTAAACTTGACCCTCGGAGAAGAGGGAGAAGAGAGAGAGAGAGAGAGAGAGAGAGAGAGAGAGAGAGAGAGAGAGAGAGAGAGAGAGCACTCTGGATCTGACAAGAAGAAACCCCAGTAGAGTGAGTGAGTGAGTGAGTGAGCGTAATAATCGGTTTGGAGTTGATCCGTCTCCGAAGCCACTGGGAATGTTCCTGCAGCTGGTTCCTCTCCCTCTGCCTCCAGCTGCACTACACTGCCCCCTGGTGGACACAACTTCAGCTGCTGCCTCTTACATCTGAATCTCAGACAAAAGCTGTGTCTGAATTATTATTAGTGAAAGAAGAAGAAGAAGAAGAAGAAGTCACTGACCGTACTCTCCGAACATGAGCAGCGTCCACTGCTTGTACTCCACCAGCTTGGACACCAACTTGACGGCGAGCCAGATGACCAGCATGCCCAGCGTGGCGTCGAGCAGGAAGTTCATCAGATACCTGAGTTTAAAACGGAGGAAAAAATAAATAAATTGTTGAGACGTCCTCCGTCATCTCATCTTATCATCACTGAGTGAGACTCACAGGGAGCAGGGGTCTTCTTTGGTGAGCGTGGACAGGAAGACGTTGGCGAAGTGGATGAAGAGGGCGCCGATGGCCTGTTTGGACGTGTCGAAGAACCTGAAGAAGATTCAACAAACGTTGTTGAGTATTTAAAGGTTACAGTTAAAAATAAAAATAAAGACTCTGTTCATATTTGTGGTTATTTTGTGTTTTATTTGGAGAGTTTGTGTGTCTTTGTGGTCATTTTCTGTCTCTTTGAGGTTGTTTTCTGTCTTTGTGTGTCTCCTCGTGGACATGTTATGTCTCTTTGTGGTGGTTTTGTGTCTTTGTGCTTGTTTTGTGATTCCTCCCGGTCGTTTTCTGGCCCGTGTCTCCCCTGACAGCTGTTCCCTAACCCTCCCTCACATGTAGGACGGGTCAGTTAAAGACAGAGTAAAGAAAAAGAAGAAAACTTCTCTGACCAGATCCTCCACGGTCGTCTGATCCCGGCAGGCTCACGGAATCTCTTCACTGCAAACAAACAAGAGAGGCGATGGATTAATCGATAACGCTGCCGTCAGACTTTGTATTCGACAACAGAGTCTCTGCAGCTCTTCTGTCTGCGAAGACACATTAAAACACACACCATCACGCATCAACCTTGTTTCCACGACACCTCCCTCCTCCCCACCGGGCTCAGGGTGAACAGACGCCCACTGTTCCTCTATCTCGCCATCTCTGATGAGAGGATGTGACCTGGCATGTGAGAACAGGACGGAGGCGTCCTGCAGACGTGTTTCACATCTGCACACTCGTCTCTAGTTTGAATTGATGATTACTTTGTCACATTTTTCCCTCCCGTCAGGATAATTAGCTGATTCCTCAAAACAATAAAAACTGCGTTGAAGACGTCACTTTGTTCAAGGTAACTTTCAGAATTCTTTAGATTTTTTTTAGGCTTTAATGATTGACGTTAGAATTCTGGATATTCAGCCTTTATCTGGATTGTGTGAGTGTGGGAACAACGACGAGCTAATGGAAGGAAACTCCCTCAAATAGCTCTGAGGACGAGCGCTCTCAGCAGACGGATGCTGAGGGACCGTGAAGCTCTGCTGCACTCAAACAAAGCCGTGTAAATACCAACAGATGTATGTGCGTTGACCGAGAACGACGTTTGCATATGTAAAGCACGGCTGGGGGGTGGGGGGGTTGGGCGGCATCGATTTCTCTACTCATCAGTAAGTGAGCGGAGGTTAGAGCCCATCGATCGCACTCAGCCTCGAGGCCCGACCCAATTCTGCAACACACCACCGCTCCGAGGGCTCAGCTGCTTGATTAGCTGCACTGACCTTTTAAAAACTACTCACCGATTATTAGATCATACGCCAACAACTCGCTCCAGAAATCTAAACTGGACGCACGTGATTCTTCCCCCAACGCCGGGACGCTGAAAGGCCCCCGAGGTGATGATGTCAGTTCACAGCAAGAACCTCCTTAAATTCTAAATTCGACAACGTACAGGAGGCTGCACTGACATCACATTCGAACGAGGCCTCGGTTTAGTTTGGCTTGATGTAAGGCAACCCCCCAGGTCCTTTTCCCCTGTGGCCCCGGAAATTTGTTGCAACACTCCTGTTACCACGAAGCATTTAGGTTAATCAGGGATCAGGAATTTACCCATAAACAAAGGAAAACTGACAAAACGAGCATATTCACAGGTTGTGGGTTCAAACTAAATGAGGAAAATATCTGGAAAATAATCGATGAGGTTCTGAATTAAATCCTCATTGGACATAAGAGGTCGAATTTGTGGGATTGTTCATTAAAATAAATCTTGCACCTTTCAGCTGCAACGTGCTGCTCCAGTATTTAACGTTGCCCTCGGTGCTGAACATTCTCACCCAGTCAGCTGCCGCACAGTCACAAGATTATTCTAAATAGTCATTGTTCAGTAAAGTCTGGTGCACAGGCAGCTTGGAGTTTCGCTGTAAAGGCAGAAACTATTGTGCAGAATCTCTAGAATTATATCCAGATTAAAAATGTATCAGACTCCTGATTACATGATATAATTTAAATCCTCATTAAAACCTCCGAAGCTCCTGTTTCTTCAAATGTGTTATGTCCCTGAGCGGCAGGAGCCAGTGTTGTGTTTGATGCTTGTGGAAATTAAAATTCCCTGAATATACATGAGTAGATTTTATCATTAAGATAAAGGATGCACAGGATTCTGCACACTCTTGACCAAACTCCCGCTAAAAAACATCTCAATTAGTGTTGCTGCCTGGCTGAACAGCACAAATTCCCTGGTGGTACAGTATATATCGTATATTTGCTTGATATGAGTCTTAAAGTTGAATTCGGGGTTATCTATGAGTCACATACAGAACGTCATTGTATTTAATTTCGCACCTAAAATAATTGTTTACGCACATCCCGGTTGTCTATTGTGTGGACGCGGAAGCTGATATTTCCTCATAACGCGTTAAGTTTATATCAATTGAAATCAGCCGAAATTAAGAACAGGTGCTCGTTGATTGGACTATGTTTCCAAATAAGTCGGATTTTAAGTGCGTTCACGCAAAAAGAGCAAGCGAATATTAAATTAGCTTATTTATCACGGGAGTATTGTTCGCGAGGTAATGGGGCTCGAGACGTCAACAACGCTCCACGTGGACCTCGCGTCCTCTCATCGTTGCGTTCGCTGGACGCGGTCAGCTGTGATGAAGATGAAGATGATGAAGATGATGAAGATGAGGAGGAGGAGGAGGCAGAGGAGGCGATGAAGGTGCGTCGGGAACTTACGCATCAACGTGCTGAAGGCGACCGCGGCGAGCAGCGCCTGGATCAGGACCCCGAACCGGTCCGTCAGAGCTCCGTTGTCGCAGCCGTGAGGAGTCGCCTTGTCGATGTCCGACATGTTGGACACCTCCTGCAGCCGCGCGACGCCGCTGGAATCGAACATGTCCACGTTGACGCGGTGGACGAGGCACCGTCTCCTCCTCCTCCTCCTCCTCCTCCTCCCCTGGGTGGGCTTCGAGTGTTTCTGGAGCTGGTGGAGAAAACAAACCGACCCTTGAAATCCAGCGGTGGCGTTCTGTCTTCAGTGTCTCCAGTGTCTCCAGATGTTTAATCGCACGAGACGGAACCGAGCAGCTGCATCAGGGACGTGAGTCACATCCAGGACCAGCAGGAAAACAACAGAGTCAAACACACACGAAGAAGAAAGAGCTTCCGTCTGTTTCTTTCACAATAAAAGACTCGAATAGAAGCTCTCGTGTGTTTGTGCGTCACATGAGATAAAAAAAAAAAAAAAACAAGAGCACAGAAACTACAGAATTTGAGACTCGCAGGAAAATGGAGATAGATAAATATAACATTAGATTAGATTAGATTTAGATTAGATATACTTTGTTCATCCCACAACGGGGACGTTTACTTGTTACAGCAGCAGAAAGAAAGTGTAGTATACACTACAGAAATTAAAGTGGAAAAGGCAATAACTCAATTTCTGTAACATACACAATAAAAAAAGAAAACAATCAACCTGCAAACAGACAATGTGCAAAAAGGTACTGAGGATTAAAGAGTGGCCTGATATAAAAAGTATTGTAATGTAAAGTTACCATGATATAAATAATATTGCAAAAACAATGGTATCTGTAAGAGAGTGTAAAAACAAAATCAAGAAAAGAATAAGAGTAGAAACAATGTGCAGTGAAATAAAGTTAAAGTCATTGATGCTAAATAAAACAATGAAAGAAATGAATGATTAAATAGAAAAATGATAAATATATATGATGTAATAATGTAGTAAAAGAATGTGGAATAAAAACTGCACCTATAAATTAAATTAAGAATAAAATAAAAATAGCAATAATGAAATAGAGTGAAATAATAGTTGAAATAGAAGAAGAGGAAAGTTTTAATTTTAGTTTTGTAAATGATTTCAGATCCTCTGACTCTTGGCTGCTACTGGATCGAGGGTCAAAGAGTGAACTTTAATGTTTAGGTGAACTGTCCCTTTAAGCTCGTTTTTTCTCTCCAGTTTTATTTTGTAAGAGCGGTTCCCTGACTTCCTGTTAGGCCTCCTCTCTTGCTGCTCTGCAGAATTCCTTGAATGTGCGCGTCACCGCCTCGGATCCTTTGTGTTTGGGTCAATGGCACCAGGTCGTGCGTCCCGCAGCGCGCACGAGGGCACCCGAGGCGAGAACTCAGCCGCACGTGAAGATGTGAGGAGCGAGATTCTTAGACTGAAGGTCGAAAACAGAGATGTTATTAAAATTATTATTATTATTCTTAATATATATTATCATGATGTGTGGAGACTTCAGAGGATGAGGCAGCTGGAGCAGAGCCAACATGGAGGAAGGAGGTTTTTTAGGGGGATGGACAGAATAAAAGACAGAAGATATAACTGAAACTAAAGTAGAGGCTACAAAACATATGGACTGTTATTTAAAAAAAAGCCTCTGGGGTCTAAACCAGCAGCTGTTGCATCTGAAATGTCTCTAATTAACACTAATTGTTAATTAATCCGATTAAAGAAAGAGTCTGTCCACAGGAACACGTTCAGTTGATATCACTGCTCCTTTATTCTGCAGAGACACAGAGAACAATGACGGAGAGTTCAGTCACAGCATTACATTCAGATCTACCCTTCATTTCCGGGAGTTAAATCTCTTTCTCTCTATCCATCTATCCATCCACCCCTCTCTCTCTCTATCTATCTATCCATCCATCCATTTTGTAAGTTCTCCATCTTTATACCTTGAGATTATTGTGATTTGGCACCATGTACAATAATTTAATGGGAATTATGGGAGAACTGGATTCAATTGGTAAATTAGGGTTA